CAAAAAAAAAAAAAAAAAAAAAAAAAAAAAAAAAAGCCTAAAGAAAACTAGGCTAATGTAAGCATTGTTATTGTTTTGGTGGGATTACTATATTTAAAAGAAAACAAACAAACAAAAGCACTAAAGATTATAAAAAGCATGACCTTTAGAACCAGACTGCTTCAGCGAGAATCCTAATTGTTCAATTTACAAGCTACACATTAGGCATTTACATCAATTAAACGGCTTCATAGACTTGTTGAGCAGATTAAATTTATGCAATGTGCCTGTAGCTGAGCTGGGCAAATGATAAATTTCAGCAAAACAACATCAAGAGTAGCTTTGTTTCATGTGAAATACTACTTTTTTAAAGACTTGGTTTTTCTGTTTAGTGAAGCATACTGAAAATATTCCTGTTGGATGAGACTCTATAAAACGAGATGAAGTAGTTTAAATTTGAACTATGTAAAAAGAAAAACATACACGAAAAAAAAAAGAAACACACAGAGCACATTCAATATCTGGGCTCCTTACTGCCTAGGTTTTGGAAACTCTCACCATCACTAACTTTAGCATTCTACAGTTTTATATATCCATCTTGCCTAAACTTACTTCCTCAGGACATGAAGCAATAATCAAACAAAGAGACTGTGTGAAATTAAAAGTATAAAAATTGGTGTAGCAGAGATGTACCATCCCAACTCACCTCAACTCCTATTTCTCCTCACCTTTCATACCACAGAGGATTAAGCTGACAGGTGTTTCATTATCTATGGCAAATTCATTGCTGCTTCCTAAGATTGGATGCTCCAAAAGATTTTGAGGTTGTATGTAGAGTCACTAACAAAGATTTGATAGTTATATGCCATTCTACACAACATTTTTGGATACATATGTATAAAACACAGTGCAGAGAGTGATATGATATAGGGGGAGTGTTTGTGTTACACATTTTTCTTGCACTGTTTAGGTACAGTAAGTTAAAAGACAATGTACAAATGTGTCAGTTAAGCACTGACGGTAATTTATTCCCTTAATCTTCACTACAGTAGAACAAAGGAGGCTGACAGAAATACTTTAGTTTGCAGCTAGTGAGTAACCGAATCTGAGCCCAGAGATGTTGGCTCCAGTCAACAGGATATACTGGCTCTCATAAGTTAGTGAGTTCAACACCATTTCCATGGCACAAGTTTACCATGGAAACCCTGACAGGCTGAATTAAAACACAGTCTTGACTTCTCAAGAGATTACCTAGGAACATAGAGTTTATGGTGAGATCTCTTCGTTCAGCATCCTTCTGCCAGTCAGTTGTGAATTCTACCTCAGCATGTCTTCCATCAGTGGTGACATCAATCCGGAGTGTAGTAACTTCAAAATTTTCTTCATGAAGCTGCAATTAAAGACAAATTTGTTATCTTTTTAAATTTTAGCACGTATGAGTATGCATTCGTGTGCCACAGCTAAGGAAAACATTCCCAAGTCCGTTATCTCCTTCCACTATTGGTCTTCTGGGGACTAAATTCAAGATGTCAGGTTGGGCAGCAGGTATCTTTACCTACTGAGCCCCCACAAAGGTTTTTGTTTTCTTTTTAATTTGGTTTTTAGTATCACCAAGTATTTTAAAAACTTGACTACATCAAGGCAGGATGTTGTAATACCTGCCAATTCCTGTATGTCTTTTAAAGTCTATTAGTTTACACATGTAACTCTGTACAAAAAAAAATCCAAAGAACAGTTTCTTAAAATTACCCACTGTGATTAAGATTAATTTCAGAGACAAACACACAACTGTGAGGAGTGGGGTGGGAGGAAATGCACTCAGTACATTTGACTCCAGTTACTCCACTTTAGAGCAAGCTCTTCTCTGACATACTATTGAACAGCTCCAGTCTGCAGAGAGGCAAAGACCAGTTTCTGGAACACAGACCACTGAGCAGCAGCTGCTGAAAGAAATACTGAGTCTTCAGGAAAGAGACCTCCAGCTGCAAAGGCTGGTAACAACATGGTGTGAGCAAAACACTGAGAAAGACCTGGACATGGGATGTGGGGAAAACCACATTTCAAATGCAAGCTCATTTGATTGTATCAGTGGTGCACTGCCAAATGACAAATTAGCAATAGTCAAGCACAGAGATTTTCAATCACACAGGAGCTTAGGACCTCCTCATTAGGAAGTTTGTTCTAGCATTCCACACAGTTTCACATCCTCTTCCAGACACAAAGCTATACATACCTATAGTTTCATCATAAACTAAGGCTCTTGAGATACAATGACATATGAAAGGAAAGAAACGGACTTGATGCAGGAAACTATGTGAAATTATTATCAGAAACAATATACTTTTCCTCCCTATACAAAACCAAGATAGACCAAAAATAATCAAAATTTGGGGCACCAGAAACTGTTGATAATAGATAGAAATGAAACACCACAATGAAAACGGGATTAAGTGGAAATCAACAAGACTTGTCTTTTTCATTATTTAATTTTCAAAATATTATACAACTGTGTAATCAGAGGTTTCTCTGTCCCACCCCATCCCGCAGCTGCTTCTAAATCACTCAGAGGCTTAATTGTAATTACAGACTGCTTGGCTGAACAGCTCGGATTTATTACTAACTAGCTCTTACTTTTAATTTAATCCATTTCTATTAATCTATGTTTTGCCACATTTCTTGTGGCTTTGCCTGTGCTCTAATACATCTTGTTCCCCTGTCAGCTGGCTGGCATCTTCCTCTTGGTCTCTCCTCATCCAAGTCCATAGTTTGATCATGCCTAACTTTATCTCATCTGACCATTGGTCAAACAGCTTTTATTATTAACCAATTAGAGGAATACATTTCAGACTACAGAAAGATCATTCCCACAGCACAACTGAGCTTATCCCCTGGCACACGACTCTGTGGAATTCTGATTGCTAATGAAAATTCTTAACATCAGGAGCATTAGCTCACTTTCATAGACTACCAACTACAGGTCACTTTGCTGAAGAATGGAAGCATGGGTAAACAATCTTTTGACGTTCTGACATGACACTGTCATCTGCAAATGGGATAGACTGTATTCATAGTTATCTGGGGACACATGTCCAAGGGGCCCTGCCTGGCCAAACTTCATTAAGAGCATCATTCGAATATAATGAGAACAGTAGAACATGCTCATTTAAGGAAAACCATTAAGACAAACAAAAAATGCTTAAAGAAAACACTTTGTCAAATTTATAACTAATAGCCAAGGGAAAATAAAAATTTTCAATCTGAAACAAGAACTGAACACTAAAAGAAATATAGTCCTGTGCCACTTTAACAAAGAACCTCAGTCTATCATATTATACACATAGTACAGTATTTGTCACCCAAAAGCGTAACATATAGTCATGTATAGTACATATTTATTATCATAAACAACTATGTTACTAGTTTCTATATTTACCACACTACATTTATACTTACTTTAATGTATGTCACAAGTCATTCATTTAACAAAGAAAGCATGTTCGAAGAAATTGGTTGCTGGGCAATTTCATTAACAATTTAGTTGATTTTAAACTTTTTACAATAACATTTGAAATATAAGATACAGCTATAAAATTAGTTAATGTCCTGTTGTAAATCATATTACTCTTTAAAAACTTTTTTGTTAACAAGACACAAATTAGAAGTGGAGGTAGTAGTGAGGATCACTGCTGTCCACCCCATATCTTGGCCCACTGGACAGCTCAGTGACACAGATGGAGCTGTTCTCCCCCATGAAAGAGCAGTACCATGGAGCATGTTCTAAAAGACCTGCCTGGATCTGATAAAATATACTCCCAGAACACAGTTGTAACTAACAGTCATAAATTCAAACTCTGAACAGTTATTAATAATACCCTAGAACAAAAGTATATGGGCCTGCTGTGAAGGGTGACAAGGAAACTAACTCACATAAATGAAGAGTATCGTTAAACCTACAAATTAAAAACAAAATCTCCAACAGAGGACTTACTTGGTTTTCCCTCAGAAACTGAAAGTGAGTTGAGTGTCAAACTTATATAATGCATAGCTCCAATGGAGGGGTATGCAAGATTTCAGAGGGCAGGAGGCAATGACTTCTCTATACTTTCTAAAAAGTTGATATTGTTTGAAACCAATTTACACTTTCACTCACCCTGGCAGTGATCGTCCCATGCTTCTCTCCTTTGTTGTTTATCATGCGAACACCAGCTGACTGGAACATCTCCTTCATCTGAGTAGGGGTGGCAGTGGTGGCAAAATCCACATCTTGAGGCTTCACCCCATTTAGTAAATCCCTCACTGCTCCTCCTGCTATTCTTAATTCATGATTCTCTTTGGCAAATAATTCTGAGGAAAGAAGATTATTTGTTTATTTTTTTAACATAACAGGATTGAACATTAAAGCTCATATAAGCATAAGGTCTTGTCATCTATTACAGGTAGGAGATCACTGAACTGAGCAGTCTTGTATGAGAATGAAAACAATAGTTAGGCAGTGGTGTACATGCCTTTAATCTAGCACTCAGGAGGCAGAGGTGATGTGAGATTCCCCTCTAAATGCTGATAATTCCATTGGTGAATAAAGAAACTGCCTTGGCCTGTTTATAGGGCAGAACTTAGGTGGGCGGGGAAAACTAATCTGAATATCTGAATATCTGAATGCTCAGAGAAAGGAGGCAGAGTCAGAGGAGAAGCCATGTAGC